TCTCCCCAAAAGTGTATGAGTGGTTTTCTTGTTTCAAAAGAGGTGAAATGTTGATTAATGCCAAACCTCATTCTGGATGTCTGTCAACTTCCTGAACGGAGGAAAATGTCAACAAAATTGGTGCACATCTGCTCAAAGACCGACGATGAACCATTGAAGAGATGGGGAAGTTATCTGGACTATGAACCATTGAAGAGATGGGGAAGTTATCTGGACTATCTTGGAACTCGGTTCAGCGAATTTTAATAGAAGATTTAGGAATGAGAATGGTCACTTGTGAAATTTGTGCCTAGGGTTCTGACTGACCAGGAAAAAGAGCATCGTACTTTGAAAGAACAGCTCCGAATCAACCCAGACTTTCTTCCCAAGGTCATTACTGGAGACATGGTGTTATTCTTACAACCCAGAAAGCAAACATCCGTCAAGCCAGTGGAAGACACCATCATCACCTTGCCCCGTGCCAAATTCCGTCAAGTGAAATCAAAGATCAAGATGATGCTTATTTGTTATTGTTTTGTTTGTTTGTTTTTTATGTGAGGGAGATAGTGCATTTGGAGTTCGTTCCACCAGGTCAGACTGTTAATAAAGCTTTCTCTTTAGAAGTTCTGAAAAGATTGTGTAACAGTGTGTGACAATAAATGCTTGATTCCTGGCAGTTGGGGTACTGGTTTTGCCACCACAATGTACCTGCTCACGCAGCTATCTCAGTGCGCCAGTTTGGGGCAAAAAAACAGCATGCCTCTCTTGCCCCACACACCTTACTTACCTGACCTTGCTTGGTGCTACTTCTTTTTGTTTCCCATAACGAAAAGGGCCTGAAAGGACAGCAATTTGAAGATGTAGAAGAGGTAAAGAAAAAAACAAAGGAGGTGTTGTCAGCCATCCAAAGAGATGTGTTTGAAAAAATGTCTCCAAGAATGGAACTGCAGATTTGACAAATGTAGTAAATGTAATGGAGAGTATTTTGAAGATGATAAGGTTGCTTTGTTAAAAAAAAAAAAAGTACATAGCTTTGAAGAAAATTCTGGGTTTTTTTTGGGGGGGTAGCCCCTTATATACCTCATACATTACCTATAAGCAACCTATAATTTCCTTCCTGATAACCTGTATTTTCTGAGTCTTTTCCTCATGGTAAAATATCTCATCACATCAAGCAACTATCAGTCATGACCAGATCTGGCCCGATGAAAGGACAGTCACCTTCAGGTGACCCAACAACAAAAGTACTTTGGTCAAGGAAGCAAAAGTTTCCAGAAAGACATCATCATTAGACATTTAGAACCAAGAAGTCTGATGAACCATCTCCTGGGAAGAATCTTTTTTTTCCCCATGTTTGTCAAGTATTTATTTAATACTTATTAATTCTTCCAGAAGACAGGAGATTTCCGGACACAAAGGTCTATTGCATTATTTATTATATTTTCTAACTCCTTAGAGCTTTCCATACATGTAGCTCAAATACCTATTTTTTAAAAATCATTTTATTAGGGGCTCATACAACTCTTATCACAATCCATACATACATCAATTGTGTAAAGCGCATTTGTACATCCATTGCCCTCATCATTCTCAAAACATTTCCTCTCCACTTAAGCCCCCGGCATTAGGTCCTCATTTTTCCCCTCCCTCCCCGCTCCCCCCTCCTTAATGAGCCCCTGATAATTTATAAATTGTTATTTTGTCATATCTTGCCCTATCAGACGTCTCCCTTCACCCACTTTTCAGTTGTCTGTCCCCCAGGGAGGAGGTCACATATAGTTCCTTGTAATCGGTTCCCTCTTTCCTAACCAATCTTAAGCTTGCCTTAATGCACACTCATGGCCACTCCTGTGAAACCTGTCACATATTCATCATCCCCTCAAGTGTCTTCCTGGCATATAAGTATAAAACTGTAAGTCCCCTCTTTGTGGGACGTTGCCATATCAACTCTAGTCCAGGTTTACTCCCTGCTTGATCAACCAAAGTAAAGGTTTTTCCCTTTCAGTTTAATCTAGACTCTGACTGTTTCTAAGTGGTGCAGAGCGAGACCTGGATGGATAACACTATTGATGCCAGGAACTTTTAATTCTAATCATACTAAATTGTATGACATAACAACAGTCACCTAACCTTTCTTACAGAATAGTGGTCGAGAGTATAGACTTTGCGGCACAACTGCCTGGGCTCAAATCCTGGCTCATCCACTTAAAAAGTTTTGTGACCTTGGACAAGTAACTTATTTATGCCTCGGTTTCCCCATCTCTAAAATTGAGATCACAGTAGTAGCACCCTTATAGGAATATTATGAGGATTCTCTTTTATTTTTCTTAGAAAGGTGATTTCTTTTCTCTTTTTAAAAAAATTTTACTTTAAGAAATCATTTTAGGGGAGGGTGGGGAAAAATGAGGAGCTGATACCAAGGGCTCAAGTAGAAAGAAAATGTTTTGAGAATGATGATGACAACAAATGTACAAATGTGCATGACCCAATGTATGTACGTATGGATTGTGATAAGAGTTGTATGAGTCCCCAATAAAATGATTAAAAAAATCATTTTAAATAATCATTGGGGCTCTTACAGCTCTTATAACAATCCATACATCAATTGCATTAAGCACATTTGTACATATGTTGCCATCATCAGTTCTAAAACCTTTTCATTCTACTTGAGCCCTTGGTATCAGCTCTTCTTTTTTCCCCTCCCTCCCCCAAAACCTTCCACCCTCACGAACCCTTGATAATTTATAAATTATTATTATTTTCATATTTTACACTGTCCACTGTCTCCCTTCACCCACATTTCTATAGTTCATACCCCAGGAGGGGGGTTTATGTCAGTCAATGCAATGGATTCCCCCTTTCTCCCTCTTCTCCCCCCACTCTCCTGGTATCACTACTCTCATTAATGGTCCTGAGGTGTTTTTCTGTCCTGGATTCTGTGTGTGGAGAGCTCTTATGTGTACTGGTGTACATGCTCTGGCCTAGCCAGATTTGTAAGATAGAACTGGGGTCATGACAGTGGGAGGGAGGGGAAGCATTAAAGAACTACAGGAATATTGTGTGTTTTGTCAGTGCTATACTGCACCCTGGCTGTCTTGTCCCTTCCTTGTGACCCTTCTGGGAGAGGATGTCCAATTGTCTACAGTTGGGCTTTAAGTCTCTATTCCGACCGACCTCATTTGCATCAAAATGGTTGTTTGTTTTGGGTCTTCTGATGCCTGATACCCGATCCTGTGGACAACTCATGATCACAAGGGTTGGTGTGCTTCTTCCATGTGGGCTTTGTTGCTTCCCTGCTAGATAGCCATGTGTTTAACATCAAGCTTTAAGATCCCAGATGCTATATCTTCCAATAGCCAGACACCATCAGCTTTCTTCACCACATTAGCTTATGTACCCATTTTGTCTTCAGCGATCGTGTTGGGAAGGTGAGCATCACTGAATGCCAGGGTGTCCAAACAAAGTGTTCTTACCTTGAAGGAGGACTTGAGTAGAGGCCCAATGTCCATCTGCTACCTTAATACTTAACCTATAAATATATTTACAAAGACTTATATCCCTATTGTTATATATTAATATTTACATATGTACATGCCTATGTTTAAACCTCTATAAATGTCTTTTGCTTCCTAGTTGTTTCCTCTATTTCCTTTTACTTTCCTCCTGTCCCACAATCATGTTTGACCTTCATTCGGCTCTCTGTACTTATGAGGACTCTTTCAATATGCACATGGCACCTGCAAAAATGACTGTAATACAAGTGTTAGTTACTATTTTCACTGTCACCAAAAAGCCACATCTAGGTTCCACAAATCCACCTGGATCTGAGACCCAGGCACCCTCTCCCAGAAATGGTGCAGCTGACAACGGTCAAAGAATCCATCCCACCATGAATACAAAAGCCCCAAATAGAGACAACTACTTCCTCAAATCGACTTTTCTCTATGACTCCATGGCTGACTAGGAGCTCTGTTTGTTTTCTCTCCTCCATGCTGTGTGTGCTCTGCAGCTGGCTGTCCTGTGCCTTCTACAGTCTGGAGAAGAGACTACACACTAAATGTCAGCTAAGAAGGGAGGAAAACAAACCACCTAAAATTAACCCAGATCACTCAAGGATGCCACCTTGTGGCTTTTCAGAGAGTTCTTCTTTGTCTCGTTCCCAGCGATGCTCATGCTCTGTAGACCAGAAACTGAGACAGGTAGCCAGAGCCCTTCTACTTCCTGGCACTTTATGGAGCTGGAAGGGACCATATGATACATTATATAAAGTTGAGAAAAATGAGAGCCCAAGAGAAGAGAGATGTGCCTGGCACCAGAAGCAGAACTAAGCTGTGGACCTCAAGTCCTATTCCAATGTCCTCCTCCTTCCCATAAGGTGCTGGTGCTCATTAGCACAGCTGTGGAATTCAAATGCCTTTAAAAGTCAAACTCAGGTCCGTGCCCTTAAATGACAAGCCTTTGCCCCTGCCTTCTGACCCAGCTGCTAGACCACAGGTGGAGGACGTCCATGAGACTGCAGCAGATGAGAGTTACACAGGAAATGTCACCTTTTTGTGTACTCAAACAAAAGGAGACACAGCATACCATTTTATGCCAACACAAAACCCGAATTTCCTCTTTTTATTTCTGGCTAATGAGCTTTTTTTTTTTTTTTCAAAACCTTACGTTTTATTTCAAAGGAACATGAAACATTGTACACTGCAAAAAGCTAGCTCTCATCCCTCTCTCCTACACCTTCATGACTTTTAAAAATGCAAGCCAGACTATCACAATTCTAAGTAAGTTCTGAAAATTTTTAAAGCCTTTTATTTTCTTATCAACAAAAATTTTAATGACAATTTTCTCCTGAATTCTTATTCATTGTTGTGGGGTTTTTTGTTTTGTTTTAATCTCCAAAAAAACCTGTAAAAACCTTCCACAAAATAAGCTAGAGCACATCTTGTGTGGGCATATTAAACATTCCCAAGAACAGTAGCAATGGACATATTTAGACACAAAACTAGCCTTGGCTTCAAACCAACCTTATGTTAAGCCAGGACAGCATGGGTGTCGTGCCTCCACCAATGATCCAGACTGTGAAGAAGACGATGAGGAGGGTGGTTGTGAACATCATCTGGCGAGCATAGGAGGCTGTGTCTCGGATGGCCAACGCAAATGCCATTGCTCCCCGGAGGCCTGCAGAGACCAAACAGGAAGATCTCCTGGGTATGTGGAAAAATTATCATGTCTCCTCCTCCAAATCCACTGCTGCCATTCAGGGCTGAATAAATCAGGAATCCACTGGCACTTAAAGAGCCACATTGTTTTACTCAGAAATGGAATCTTCTAGGAGTATAATTGTCTGCTATTTGGAGTTTCCTTTTGCAAAGCTCCCAGGAGCAATGAGAAAAATGCTACACAACTTCTGTACAGCACATTTTAGAAGAAGAGCACTCTCTTATTGCTGTGAGTAACATAATCTAAAATGAAATATAAATAGGAAAATAAACTCTGTGATCTAAACCACTCAAGCACTTACACAGTCATTATACACTTGAGAAAAAAGTTAGGCTATGAAAATGTCAAATGCAAATACCCTACGAACCACAAAAGAGGTCAGCATTTCCTTAGCAAAGGAGGAAGCCAAGTAGAGAAGTTACAATATAACACGATCTACATCTGGCTTAGCAAACTTTCTGTAAAAGGTCAGACATGAGATATTTTAGGCTTGTAGGCCAAGAGCGTAAATTCAGGATATGATGCAGATATTTACATAAAAGAGAAAGAACAGTTTCCTAAAATTTTATCTGCAGAAATGAAGAATACTTGAATGCAGCATGTTAAATATAGATCTACTAATAAAAAGCTCAGAATTCCTCTTGGGAGATGATTTGCTTAATTGGGCTTAAGAGTTAGTGTTCTCTATCATCAAATAGATGATACATTGGTAGTACCAGGGGAGAATTATCACCTTCCATGCGGGAGATCGGGGTTTGATTCCCAGCCAATACACCTAATGTACAGGGACCACACATCTGCCAGAGGAAACTTGTGTGCTGCTTTGATGCTGAGCCGGTTTCAGCAGAGCTCCCAAACTAGGACAGACTAGGGAAAAGGGGCTGGCAGTCTACTTCTGAAAATCAGTCCATGAAAACCCGATAGATCACAATGGTTTGATGTAAAATCAATCGCAGGGAGGGTGCAGGACTAACTAGATAGTGTTTCATTCCATGTTGCATGGGGTCACTGTAAGTCAGGGGTCAACTTGATGACAGCTGGTAACAAGAACAAATATCATTAAACAGAAGTAAAGGTTCATTTGCGGAAGCCAGTCTTAGTTCATGGGCCACTGAAAAAAAAGGAAACAGCAGCCAGATTTGGTTCCAGAGTTGTATTGCTGAACAACATGAATACCGTTTCCCCGAAAATAAGGCAGTGTCTTATATTAATTTTGGCTCCCAAAGAAGCGCTAGGTCTTATTTTCAGGGGATGTGTTTTTTTTTCCATGAAGAAGAATATGGTACACATTTATTATTGTTTTATTAAAAGAGACGTCGCACTTCCTGTGTGTTCCAGCTGCGCTGCAGCCAACAGTGAGCTACGCAGCGGCACCCGCCGCTACGGTCCAGAGTTACAGTAGCTTGGGGGGGGGGGGTTTATTTTCGGGGAGGTCTTATTTTGGGGGCGATGCCTTATATTTCAGCGAGAGGCAAAACTGTAAGTAAGGCTTACTTTGGGGGGATGTCTTACTTTCGGGGAAACAGGGTAGATTTAAAATTAAGCACCAACATTTTCATGTTTTAGAGGTTATCTTTCTTGGGTCCTTTGCTACTTCCTCATGCCATGCTCCTAATTTATTTTTTCCTACAATCTGAACCAAGTCATTAATACTTAATACTTAACTAGTAAAAATGGACAAGCTTGCATGAATATTACATAAGAGAATGAGAAATTATACGTACTGTTTGTTGGAGTCCCGGTGGCACAGTGAGCTAAAGCATTAGACTGTTAACTGAAAAGTAGGTGGTCTCAACCTAGCAGCTGCTCCTCGGGAGAAAGATGTGGCACACTCCTTCTGTAAAGATGTACAGCCGTGGGAATACTATGGGGCAGTTCTACTCTGCCCTGTGGGGCCGGTAGGTTTGGTTTGTCTTGAGGTTGCCTGACAGTCAGCTACGAAATCAATCAATATTTAAGTTTCCAAAGGGACACTGTCTCAAAGAAAACTTGGAGGTCAGAGTTCTCCATGGTAGTGCGTTTTTTGGTTTATATTTGTTTTTGCTTTCATTGCAACATTTTGTTAATCTGAGTACTTCAGAGCAATTGACTAAAGAACAGGGACTCAATAAAAGTTACCCCCCAAAAGAGAAACCCAGAATAAAATTCTTGTTTCTATTAATCTGTCCCAGTGGAGTATTTATACACACCTCGGTGTTTCTGTGAAGAAGTCTTGATGGCACTGTGGGCCAACCATTGGGCTGGTAACCACACACTTAGAAATTCAAACTCACTAGCAGCTCTGTGGGAGAAAGATGAGGCTGTCTGCTTGCGCAAAGACTTACAGTCTTAGAAACCCCACGGAGTGGTTCTACTCTGTCCTACAGGGCAACCAGGGCTCGGCATCAATTCAATGGCATTAGGTTTGGTTTTGTTTTCAGCTTCTCTGACAGCCATCTATGGCATCAATCAACATGTAAGCTTCAAAAATTATCTTGGGACTCAGAGGGAGACAATGGAAGATACAGTTTTCTTTATTTTCTTAAGCAAACATTGTAAACAATATGAAAGTGACATCTGAGATATTTCTTAGCCTTGAAAAGTGAGTTTCTTTCAATAGTCACATTTCCTCCAATACTCTGAAGAACTTGAAAACAAATTGTACTAGTGTTATCTCTGAAAAGCACTGTGCACATCTGTCTTTTAGTACAGAAGATAATGAATATATTTTAAGCTTATCTAGATGACAGTTACGTCCAATTCATCTTTATCTTGTCCACTGGCATTTTCCTTATAGGACAATAGGATCTTGTGAGAAACCTCCAATGTTTCCCAAGGGCTCTTGAATAAAGCCCAGACTCTGGCCCAGCACTGAAGGGTCTAAATGCCAAGAGCTAGGATTCTCAGTGTGATCTTCAGATAAGCAGCATCAGCTAAGAACTTGCTAGAAAAGCAGATTCTCAGGCCCAACTTCATACCTACAGCAGGGGTGAAGCCCAGTCATCTGTGCTTTAATAAACTCTCTGGATGAGTCTACTGCAAGCTACACGTTAAGACACACTTTTTCTGCTCCAATCTCTCCCTTTTTTGTCATTATTCTCTGTGGCTTACATCCAATCTCTCCTGCTAAGGCCACCCATGGCAATGCTTCTTTGCCTTTTCAACCTGCTGCCTCCTGGAATACAGGACTTCCAAGCCCCCTTGTGAAGACAGCCATGAATCCTCTTCTTCTGGTCAACATTTATTTTTTCATACTTCTTTTGCGCAAGTCACCCACCATCTTCCGTGAGGAGTGAGTCAGCTCTTACCCGTCTCCCCACGGTGGACTGTGAGTGACTTGAGGGAGCTTTCAGGACTCCACAACCTAGCACTGTGGTTTATAAAAAAGAATATGCTCAAGAAATGTTGGTCAGCATGAAAGGAAATCATTAGAAAGGCTGTTGATTAAGGCAGGTTGTGTATGTACAGCTAGATACAAGCTAGTATTAGACAAAGCAACAGCTTCCTGAGCAGTGTCTGTTGGTGTGATCTCAGCATGATTCCATGCAGCTGTTATTCCCTCTGCCCTCTTATTCAGCCCCCTACCTCCTCCCACACACAAGACAGAGGCACCTTTATGGGTCATGCTGGCCGTGTGGCCCTCTGTCCTGTACAGATGCTCTCACTTGCATGTCATCTATATACCACTAGATGCCCACTGCCTTCCATACATCTCCTCAGGCCAGTTGCTGTCTCCTTCTTGACTTCCACTTACTGCCTTGATGCTGTTTGCTCCCTTTGTGGCTTCTCTACAGCTCTTGGCTTTATGGTGAAAGGGGAAGCAGCTGGAAAGTGGTGCAGATCCAGCGCCAATCAAGCTGAGCTATCCCAGCTATTCTCTTCAGGTTTGGGGTTCATCTTGCTTATGTGAGTCAAGTTTAGTTCTTCTGCTCCGTAGAAAGTGAGTACTTGCAGGGACTCAACTACTAGTCCACTTTGATTATTTTACAAGTGAAGATATTGCAGCTGGGAAGTACCAAGTCACTTGGTCCATACACTTTCTCTCATTAAAGAGCTATTTTCTTTCCATTTGGGGTCTGGAGCTCTTCTGGACATCTACTAGAAGCCAAGTAGTCATATGAATTGCTTTACATCTGCAGGCCGCTTGGGTCGAGGGGCATGAGATGAAGATGCAAATCTTTTAGGAGATAATACTCCCATGTGGTGATATGGTTTACAAACTCGATACTAACTCAGCTGGACATGTATATCTGTATGCACAGCACTAATGTAATGCAAACGAACCAGAAACCTTCATTTTGTTTTTTTCATAAGACTCCTTGATTATGTTTTCATCATACCACCTCGGCCTGCTCCATAAGACTCATTTTTACATGTATACTTTCACTTGTTTACCTGAAAACATCATCATGTGTTGGAAATTCCAGCCAATCTTATGCCTCCTGCCCAAGTTGAGGAAGAAGGAGAGTGGGTAGACATGTGCAGCTCTGCCCAGGAAGATGGCGACCTGATCACCAGGTGGAAGTTAAGGGCCCAACAGTTCCAGAATGGCAATTTCACACCGCCTCTGATTGAGCAAAAAACTGGTTTTTGTTTTAATAAATCTTTTTACTGGGGGCTCTTACAGCTCTTATAACAATCCATACATCAATTGTATCAAGTACATTTGTACTTATGTTGTCATCATCATTTTCAAAACATTTTCTTTCTACACTAGCCCTTGGTATCCACTCCTCTTTCTTCCCTCCCTCCCCCAACCTCCCACCCTCATGAACCTTTGATAAATTATAAATTATTATTTTCATATCTTACACGATCTACTATCTCCCTTCACCCACTTCCTGTTGTTTGTCTCCCTTGGGCCGGGGGTGGGGAGGGGTGTTATACATCGATCATTGTGATTGGTTCCCCTTCTCCCCCACCTTTCCCCTACCCTCATAGTTTCACTACTCCCATTATTGTTCCTGAGGACGTTATCTGTCCTGGATTCTGTGTGTTGAGAGTTCTTATCTGTACCAGTGTACATGCACAGGTCTAGCCAGACTTGTAAGGTAGAACTGGGGTCATAATAGTTGGGGGTGGGGTGGAAGCATTAAAGAACCAGAGGAATGTTGTTTGTCTTGTCAGTGCTATACTGCACCCTGGCTGGCTGGTGCTTTCCTTGTAACCCTTCTGTGAGGGGATGCCCAATTGTCTACAGATGAGCTTTGGGTCTCCACTCCGCCTCTCCTATATGATTGTTTGTTTTGGGGCTTCTGATGACTGATACCTGATCCTGTTGACACCTCATGATCACACAGGCTGGTATGCTTCTTCCACATGGGCTTTGCTGCTTCCCTGATAGAAGGCCGCTTGTTTAATGTCAAGCCTTTAAGAACCTAGACACTATATCTTCTAATAGCTGGTCAACATCAACTTTCTTCACCACATTTGCTTATGCGCCCATTTTGACTTCAGTAATCCTGTCGGGAAGGTGAGCATCATGGAATGCCAGGTTATTAGGACAAAGTGTTCTCGCATTGAGGGAGGACTTGAGTAAAGGCCCAATGTCCATCAAATAGGGGAGTTTAGGGGTGCCATAACACTTTATTATGCTCAGGAGAGCTGCACAAAGAAGCCAGCCTGTTCAGTTTTCCTCTACACAAACCTCTCATCAAGTGGAGTCCAATTGGCCAACTTTCCCAACATTGTGGTTTTACAGAGTTCGCTCTTATTTATTTACTCAAGCTGGTGTTGACGAAGTCCCCAATCTATCTAAGAAACTAAGTCCAGAAATAAGCTCCAATACCATACCAGGGGTAGGGAGTTAAGAGAAGTAGACAGTGTGTTGGGCTCTATTAGAAGAAAAATCATCAATAGCAAAAAATACTAACTTCTGGTTCAACCTATAAGGAAAACGTCTGCTGAATAAGAGCTCATCAGCTGCACTTGGAAATAAGCATCAGGGCTTCTCATGCCCGGGAAACGCTTCCAAATAAGAGGTGGAGAAACAAAATATTCCTAACACTAAAATTCATTCAAAGCATTCGAGAGAACCAATCCAGGGCAATTTCTCTACCTAAAAAGTTCTGATAGCATAGCAGGGTAAGTGTTGGGCTGCTTATGACAAGGTTAGTGGTTCAAATCTACCAGCTGCTCTATAGGCAAAAGATGACATTGTCTGCTCCCATAAAGATTTATAGTCTTGGAAACCCTAAGGAACAGCCTATGAGGCTGTTAAGAATGAGAACTGACTCCGTGGCAGTGAGCTTTAAGCGACTAAAATGTTTTTACGGATACATAAGAAATGGAAAATGGTGGGGGGGGGGAGTGGAAGAGGAACAGAGTCTACTGTGGAAACCACAGAATTCAGGGAAACTGCTCGTCCGTTCCTTGCTGAGTTTAGAACAGAGCCCAGCCGAGAGTTCCACGCTCTGCTCGTTAGAGAAGGAAGCCACCGTGGGACCAAGAGGAACAGGGAGCTTCCGTTTAGGCAAAGCCCCAGCTGCAAGAGCTGCAGCTGTTTCAGACAGACATGAGGGCGGAACTATCTCCTGCCTCCTCCAGGGTGAAACACCGACTATTTTTCTTTGCTTTTGTTATGCTTTAACAGAAAGGAAAAGGTAGTGCTTTATAAAGCACATTCTATTCCAGAAGCAAAGCAAAAAGCTTTTTAAGTAGCAAGAAGCCTTGGGGGTTCAGACTGCACAGGCGGCCCAGCTGATCCTCATCGGTAAACAAGGACCGCAGATTTCAGTATCTCTCTCACACACAGGATGTCATGCTAGGAATAAAATGAAAACCGCATGCAAGGTCTTTCTTAATGAAGTTTATGAAAACCCTCCATCCCTCACATTTCTAGCCCTTAGTTTGTGGAGGGTATAAATCCAAGAAATGAGTCACCAATTTAAGCATGCATCCTTCTATCTAGAAGGATCTGGCATTAGGGACACTATTGCTATAAAGGTGCTCTGCTCGGTGACCACCAGGTACTGCTGCACCATAAATGAAAAGAGCAGAGCAAAACATTTCTGTTTGGCCAAGACCGAGGAATACCCCCTAAGTCCCCAGTAAAGGTGAAAACCAGATGGCTAGCATGAGGGGACTCCTCTGGAAAATATCTTGAAGTCAAGGCTCAGTTAGATTGCTATAGATCCAAATGCTAGAAAGGTTCACTTTAAATGAAAACAATATTGAAGCCAAGTGAGCACAACGCTCAGCTGCCTGTCAATTCCTTTCTAGGCATCTACATCCCTGTTCACTTGTCAGAAGGCAATCAAAAGTCTCTCTTTCAAAAGCTGCACTAACAATGGGACTGATAGAAGGAATCAAGTTGTTTTTTCTCCCATATACCTTTTCCTTTTCTTTTTTATTCTTAGGAGTACAGTTGTATCATAGCAAAAGGATACAAATCGGAAGCAGTCAAACCTTCCTTCTCTTTTTTGGATAGAAGAAGATTATTTTCCATTATGACTCTAAAGTAGTAGATAGGTTTGGATGAAAGCATGGCCACTACGTATAAGTGCTCCTGGGCAGGAGGAGGAAGGGCTGCCCACTCTGGGTACACAGTCAAGAGCCGAAGGAACAGAGCCTTCAGATCATCCAAATCAGGGAGTCTCTGAGATCGGAAGTAACGCAGCCATAAAATCTCAAACACAAGTCTGGGGACTGACAAGGTGGCCAACTTCCTGACTTACTAAAAAGTAAGGCATTTTAAAAGACCAGCCTGCCAGGTACCATCTTTCCAGAAAACCCACCTTACGCAGAAAATGCAGAAAGGGTCAGCTTAGAATTAACATTTGTCTTTCACATTACATACATTGAATTTTATGAAACCTGTCTTAAGCCAAATTTTCCTCATCATAAAAACACCCTGAACTGATCCAGTCAAACCACTAGCATCCCCAAAAGTGGCCACCTCTCCTTGTTGAAAATGTTGATATGAAAAAAGGATACAAAAGCGCCAATGATGAAAACGGGACTGAAAACGTGCTTCTGGAAGGTAAATAGCGCCAAGCCCATGTAGGAGAAGATGAAGTTCTCTGCCAGGAAGTGCAACACTTCAAAAAGCTGCGGGGAGAGGAAAAGGCAGAGGAAACTGTGAGGCCTGCAGTTCCACCTTCCTGTGGTCGCAGGTAACTCATGAGTACTCAGATGCTCTCTGACCTGCTTGGTCCGACTTCTGGATTCCACGGACAGGTTGTTGTAGGTGTAATGAGCTTGTGTGATTCCACAGAAAAGTACAGCTACGACACCTGTCAAGAGATAAAAAATACATGTCGACACGGAAAAGGGGGTCCAGGTGTGACGAAATCCCGGCTGAAATCAAAAGTGAAAGTGGGAACAATCCAGCAGAGCCAGCTTCCTGGATATGTTGAAAGTATCTTATAACTGAAATATTGTGCATGGAAAGCTTCCCCTGCCCCCCCCTCATATCAACCTTTCCTTCTCTGAATCCTGCTTTCCCTCAAACCCAAGTCCCCAACTTATCTCTTAGCTCCGGTTTTATAAAAGCATTCTTATCCCTCTAAACTCCTACTGAATTTGTCATCTGTATTTGGCATTTATCCACAAACAAAGAAAGTAAGGACCTGTTATATACTTTTGCCATCTTTTTCTCTGTTCTTTGGAAGGAATTTCACTTTAAACCAATCCTTTATATATTTTTGCAGTCTGGGGTTTCTGACTGAAAAAATGGCCACTTTCTGAATAGATTGAGAGGGCACTTTCATTTATGCAAGCCCGACCGATCTGTCGTTCTGGTCCAGGCTGTCCATGACAATCCGAACACCTGAAACTTTGCCATTGTTTTAGTACATCATTGTGGAGTCGTCTGTAATGTTACACATAGCTATGTGGTAGCATTTTGAGAAGATGATACAAGTACTTCCTAACTGTCTGGATTGTGTAGCTTATCTACTTGAAATTTCTAATGGAAAAAGTCAGTGATGTATTTTTCTGGAGAAGGAATGTGAGTCCCAGGAATCAAAACCACTTGAATAACCACACTAATAATGTATGGAACTGGCACTAAGTGCTGATCTTGTTGTTGCCGTTAGTTGCCACTGAGTCAACCCTCAACTTGTGGCGACGCCATGCACGATGGGATTGGACTGCTGTGACCGCCAAAATCATGGTGTCTAAAAGCAATGATTAAACAGACCAGAGATGAAGAGATGAGAAAATGGGTGCACAATATCCAAGTAGATGCAAAATTACCTTTAAAGGGACAGATATTTTGCTTGTTATTGTTATGGCTTGTGAAATGACATGGCAATCTAGGGGAAGATACAAATAAGATTTTAATGGGCTCAGTAACCTTTGTGCTGAATATCTACTTACAGTTAGAATGAGTACACAAACACATAACCAAGTTTGGAATAATAAAGTTTACCCTTTAAAAGTATATTGTTTCCGGCAGAACACCAGCCGTGCTCAGCAGCATCCCCTCTGAACACTCCCAGAGTCGTTATTCAGTCCGTGTAACTACTATGCGAGCACATTCCCTCCCCTCAAGCTCTGACAGCCTCTGCTGCAGTGAGAGGAAGGGCAGCCCAAAGGCAGAGAAAACCCACCTGTAAACCCACAGGCTTCTGCCAAGAGAAACGTGCTCCAGGACATCAGGAAGAAGAGCGCGGTCTCCAGCAGCGGGAAGCAGTGCAGCTTGGTAAATTTGGTCACGTCAGCACCTGGTCAAGGAATACATCTCCAGGCACAAATGGTTCAAGGTCACCAAGAACCACACTCCATTAGTCCAGGACTCATTCCCTAAGGGCTGCATTTTTCATTTTGACACTTTGTTGGGGGTGGGGCTGGGGGCTCTAAAATGTCTGTATACATATTTGAAGGAAATACAAATCACGCTTTCTAAAGAAACTAGAAATTGGTTCTTCCAGTTCCTTGCGATGCCCATGTTTGAGGGGCACAGTGTGTGCTGACAGTGCCAGCTGCCTGGGATAGGCCTAGAAAGAGGGGCCGAGTCTGTTTAATGAATGACTGCCTGAGAAGACAGAAGGAAATCTACAAGTCCAGGGTCAGCTCCAAGGGGCCCATCTCACATATTGGGACTAGACATTCCCCCTTCTTAACCCTACCATTCCCCCCTGGGGCCAGCATAAAACCGTCTCATGAGTGTTTCCACTGGCCAGTGGAAGTCCCCAGGGCATCAAAAGGGCCTCTGTGAAGAATGCAATCAAAATCTTCATGGTCTACTATGTAACTGCTAGCTACATGTGGCTCCTACAAATACTTAATATGCAACTAGTCCAAATTGGGATGTGCTGTTGTCATAAAAAAAGAGTGCAAAAATGGAATATACAAAAATATCTCATCAATAGTTTTTATGCTGATTACACGTCAAAATGCTGTGGCTTACACTGCATTCTCATTGGACACTGCTGATCTAAAAGCCCATGAAAGAAGAGAAGATGAACTCCACAGCACGTGTGGCGGGGTGGCCTGGTCCTTCCATACTTTGCTTTCAGACGCTTCTTTAATTGAGGTAAAAGTTACACAAAGGAAACGAACCACTTTCAAGGACACAATTTGAGTGTCATTGAGTACATTCGCAATGTTGGGCAGCCACCGTCCCTACCTGGTTCCAAGGTATTTTCATCATCTTAAAAGGGAACGCTGTACTTAGTAAGCAGTCACTTCCCCTTCTGTCCCCCCTCAGGCCCTGGGAAGCACTAGTCCGCTTTCTCTCGCTAAGGGTTTACCTAATCTGGATGTTCCAAATAAATGGAATTATACAATATACGAACTTTCATGGCTTTTATGCTTTTCCAAGAGTAAATATGTGTAGTCCTTAACTTAAGGAAGGTTGACTTCCAAAATTCCCACTGATGACCACTAGCAAGTAATGGTCGTGCTTATACCATAGAGCGGTGGTTCTCAACCCGGGGGTCAAACGACCCTTTCACAAGGGTCACCCAAGACCATCGGAAAACACACGAATATTTCACAGTATATAATGACATTAATGACATTATTTTGTGATTAATCACTATGCTTTAAGTATGGTTAATTATGTTCAATTTGTAACAATGAAAATATATCCTGCATAACAGATATTTACATTACGATTCATAACAGTAGCAAAATGACAGTTATGAAGTAGCAACAAAAATCATTTGATGGTTGGGGGTCACCACAGCCTGAGGAACTGTATGAAAGGGTGGCGGCATTAGGAAGGTTGAGAACCGCTGACAGAGAGCCTTGGACAGTAGGCGGCAGCAGCAACTTTGGAGCTGGGTTTCTAGCTATCCTTGAGATGGTCCTTAATTCTCATCCCCCCTTCACCCCACTAAAATTAACTTCTAACCCCCCGTCTCCCACTGATTCATAGGAAACAGATAGGAAAAAGCAAAGGGCTACAGAGTTGCACTTCCTCAAATCAGCTCCAACTTCATTATTAAGTGACCTAGCCCAAGTGTTTCTTCAAAGGAATGCACTTCGGGACACATGGCAGTCCAGTGGAACAATCAATTCCTGATTCTTCTCTGAAAGGAAGAGCTAAGAACTTTCTTTTTGAAAGTGTAATGTCACATAAGCATAGCCACGGAGGGGCAGAAACTTCCAAAAAGGATATTAGGGCAGTCACAACACCAGTCACAGCTCCCATGGTAAAAGAGCCACTAAATATACCTAGAAAAATGCCAACTGACTTAAAAAAAGCAGCAGCATCAAAGGCATGAGTGTTCAGTCCCGCTGGCTGGTAGGCAACAATAGACCTGGAGTTTAAAAAGGAGAGAGAGTTAAAAGATTGCATGCGCAAAACACATTAGCAAACATAGATATCGCCATTCTGCGAGCAGTATCCATGGTCTAGTCACTGAATTTAATCTATAGTTACTATGTTCTGCTGGTGTCAGCATTCTGATCATTGCTGCCTTCACAAAAACACATAATTCTATCCAAAATGCTGATAAAGCTCATTTAGAAAAAAAATGCTCAATTCAGTACTGAGCAGTTTTAAGACAGGTCTCTCCATTTAGCCCACAGCATTCAGGCAATCCATCTTTCTGCCTGGGCAGAAATACTGTGACTTAGGAGGCCAGGCCAGTGAGACCCGAAAGAGTGTTACTTACGAGGACAGGACGATGGCAACGGCATCATTTAGGACGCTTTCTCCAAAGAGAAGTGCATAAAGGTCCACGTCTGCATGCAATTCATTAAATATTGCCAGCACAGTAACTGAAAATGCCAACAAGAATAAAGATTAGTTTCAGTTTCTGACCTTAAACTATTGATTAGAGATGTATAGTAGCAATTCCCACCTTAGGTGGGGCTGCATGGTTTGGAAGTCAGCAAGAGAATCAAATATGGGTTATCTGCCTGATGTGATGCTTGATTCTAATAACAACTGGACAATTTCCAATGTAATCCCAACACATTTTGAACACACTTCTATTAGACAACTTAAGGAAATAAAACGTTATTAATGTGATTTGGATCCCCCCCCCCCAGTGGGTTGAAATCTCTTTGATGGCAGGAACTCTATTTCATTGACCATTGCACTCCCAGAACTTAGCATAAAAGCACAGAAAAAGCTTTAATAGAGGTTTGTGGAATAATTAAAGTTTTTTTATGACAAACTATACTATAGGGTTGCTATGAGTTGGAATCAACCCAATGGAAGTGAGTTCAGTGAATATACTAATTGTCTTGCATTTTTTCAGAATTTGCAGACATTTAAAAATCAGTTAATTCTCTAGAATGGCAATTCTTAATTTTTTTTCCAATCAGGACTGAGGTCCCCAAAGAGCTTTTGTTTCTATACGTTATACCCAAACCACCCACTGCCATCAAGTCAATTCAGACTCATAGTGATCTGAGGCTGTAGGGTTTCTGAGGCTGTGTATCTTTACAAATAGCCTCATCTTTCTCCCTCAGAGGAGCTAGTGGGTTTGAACTACCAACCTTGCAGTTAACAGGCCAACATTTACCCCACAGCACCACCAGGGTTCCTAGAACATTCAATATTTATGTATTCTTAAACAAAACATTTTAAAATTAAATATGGAATCATTTAATATTAATAAAATAATAAACCCATAACAAACATTTTCTTTTTTTTCAAACACATTTTCATGAAAAAGAATATCATTACAGTATATTCTAAAACAAAATAGTTTTGCGAGAAGAGTGCCATTGTTTTATACTTTTGCAACTCTCTTACTGGAAGACAAGTGGTTTCTGATGTTCTTATAGTTGATCAACAGATATTTAATATCACATTCTACACAGCCTCTAATTCATGAGAGTGAGAATTTAAAAAGCCAATGATTTATTAGTATTATCAAAGCCATTGTGATGTTAGGGTCCCCCTAAAAGGGGTTCAAGGATCCCCGGAACACACTTTCAGAACCACTGGTCTAAAGTAGGTTTCTCAACCACAGCACTAGTGGCACCATGACATAATTCTTGGTAGGATGCTGCACAGGATCTCTGGTCTCTGTCCGAAGGATATAACAACAGTTCCCCTCCTTCAATTGTGACAACCTAAATGTTCCGGACATTGTCAAATGACCACTGGTGGATATAACTGCCTTGATTACAAAGTGCTGTTCTCTCTCTACACCTAACTGCCTTCTCCTTGGTGGGTTTCTACACAATAATTTTAAAAGCTAAAAACCCACTTTCCCAGCCTCCATTGCAATGAGAGCCACCTCTCTCTTTCTGCCTGAGAAAACAAACAAACAAACTGAGAACTCACTGCCATCTAGTCGATGCCGACTCAATGCGTCCCTGGACAGAGTAAAACTGCCCTGGTGAGTTTCAGAGACTAACTGGTTATAGGAGTGGATAGGCCCGTCTTTCTCCTGAGGGGTCACTAGTGGTCCTGACCTGCAGACCTTACAGACCACAGCCTAACATGTAACTACTATACCACTAGGGCTCCTATTCTGCATGCGGCACAGTCATCTTGCCTCTATGTTACAAGTCTGACTGAATCCCAAAGGATTTAAAAAAAAAAACAAAAAACCCTAACTCATTGCCATAGAGTGATTCCAACTCAGAGTACCCTATAGAATAGGACAGAATTGCCCTTACGGGTTTCCGGGCCTGTAAATCTTTTATGGAAGTAGAAATCCTTGTCTTTATCCTATAGGGCAACTGGTGGTTTTGAACGGCTGACCTTACAGTTAGCAACCTAACACCTAACACCATCTGGTAGTACAGTAAAAAGACGTAGTGCTTGCCTACCTGATAGTACTATGAGCCAGGGCACCAGCCTTGGACTGCGACAAACACCTATTAAAAGCTAGTATTGAAAAAAAATGAAAAATAAAAAAAATAAAAGCTAGTATCGGCCCAGGGTTTTGTATTTGCAACCAAATTCTAACTAATACAATTTAAAAGCAAAACGAAAGAAATGTATCATTTAATGATTCCTTATATGCCACCCAGTCTTGTAATCACTATCCAACTCAAGAAACCAAACTTTGCCAGCCCTTCTGGGAGTCCCCCTTCCCTGTAAGTTCCATCTCAATCTTAAATCCCTTCTTATGTTCAAAAGTCACCACTAACCTATCATATAGAGTAACCACTTCCTTGCATTTCATTAGTCTGATCACCCAGTGTTAACTAATTTTAAATGAATCAATATTTAATGTTTATTGTTTTATTTAAAATTAGAGTGACACAACAACTTGACTCTGCCCATTTTCAAATTGATGTCTCTTCTACTCTAGAGGTCTCCATTTGGCAGCTCTCTTTTCATCACACCCTACTGGCTAGTTATCTCATTTCTGAACTACCCAACCCTTATATGTGCAACCCATTCCTATTTTCTAACTTTCATTTCATTCCTTTTGGAAAATTAATAAAGTTTTATATGGTCTTAGGGTTTATTTTTCTGTCATGACTTAATTGTCTGTAGATTTCTTATTCAGAGGGGTTATTCCCACTTTCTTTTACAACATGCTTGCTCTTTTACAATATACTCAAACTCCTCCCAGTTCTGCTGCTCATGCTGAAGTGAGAAGAGTAAAGGGAGACTAGCTCCCCCCTCTGGCAATACAATGAAATATAATAAATATAAACTCAAGCTTACTGCCATCAAGTCAATTCCAATTCATAAGAAACCTCTAGGGAAATGGCCCCCCTCCCCCCGTGGGTTTCCAAGTCTATAATTCTTACAAGAGAAGGCCACATCTTTCCCCTAAGTAGTTTTAAACCACTGACCTTGTGGTTAGCAAACCATATGGGCTCTCCCTATAGCCACCTCTCAAAAAATTCTTTAAAAAAAAAGGAAATCCACTGCCACCAAGTTGATTCTGACTCATAGTGACCTTATATAGGGTTTCTGAGGTTGCAAATCTTTACGGGAGTAGATAGACTCATCTTTCTCTGACAGAGTGGTTAGTGGGTTTGAACCACCAACTTTGTGGCTTCTAGACACCTCTCCAGTATTGTCTAAAATCTACTTCCTCTGGTCCCCTACTTCACCTGAGCTTGCTTTCTTCATAAAGCTGTGTCAATCTCGACTCATGCTCCTAGCAGTTCCTCTTTAGAGAGCCACTCTGTACTTCCAAAGCAGGGCTTGGAACAGATTCATTCTGCTTGGACCTCTGCTGAGAATGTGCATTTCCACACCAATATACTGAATCAAAATCTACAGTTTAAGAAGACTTCCAAGTGTTTCTTCATTAATCTTTTGCATATATACGAGTCACCTGGAAGTCTTCTTAAACTGTAGATTTTGAATCAGTATAAGTATCTGGAGTAGAAATATACATTCTCAGCAGGAGCCTAACCCAGCAAGAATTATTTGGGAGCCCAGAGGACTTCTGAGAGCCCTGAATACCCAGGTCACTCCAGCAGCCTATAACTTCCCCCAGTCTCCTGCACTCCCCCACAAACTGAGTCTGCAAGGACCACTCCCAATCTTAACTGTTATTATCTGATATCACCACAAAGCTATTTATTCCCAGAAGGGACTCTTTCTTTAGAGTGTTAATATTTATGGGAGACCTTTGGGTCTCTGACTATCAAAAGGACCCTTTTCTTCCTCCATTTTCTCCTGCACAGCTGCTTGCTATTCCTACACCTGAGTGTCACTGCTGATGGTGGTTTTGCACCACCAGTTTATATTTGAGGACAGATGAGGGCTTTGAAAAGCTTGCGGGAAAATGTAATGAAAAGATAATCAAATTTTCCACAAACTCTTTTAAGCCCTATGTACTGTCAAGGAGTCCTGGTAGATTAGTAAGTTATGCATTGAGCTGCCAACCACAAGGTTAGCAGTTCAAATCCCCAGCACTTCACGGGAGAAAGACAAGCTTTTTACTCCTGTAAGGGTTTATGGCCTAGTAAAGATGTACAGCCTCTGAAACCCACAGGGGCAGTTCTACTTTATCCACAGAATCACTGAGTTAGAACGGACTCACTAACAGTGAGTTTGTTTTTCATGAACTGTTAGCAAGTTTTGTCTCAGTGTTGATTTTAAATGCTCTGTTTCCCTTCTTTTTCTTAGGGATTAAGTTAGATTCCAAAATGACATGGTCCCATTGAAGTACTCTATGGCTCATTTGCTAACCTTGCTGACTCTCACTTCTGTATTTTTTCACTGCTCAAGCTTCCAATTTCCACATTATTTTTCCTACCCAGAGCCACTGAATTCAAAGTTTTGGCGGGCTGCTACTCACACTCATAACAAATACTGATGGGACGTTCCCTTGCTGTTCATCCCACAAGTCAGCATGAGCAGTTGTGATTAGACGTGAAAAGTCACCCCACCCACTCATGATTTGGTGCTTTAGAAACCAGAGTTTGAGTAGCGCTTGGGACCGAGAGATTGAGCTAACTCCCAGTTGCTGGCTTATAATAAAGCTTCTCATTCTACCAGTTTGGTGTGGTCCTTATTGACTTGGAAGCCAGGTACAATACTATCATACTTTTCTACTTTTCAACAAAATTAATTCATTTCATTGAGGGTAAGCAAAGACTAATTTGAATTTGAAAACTCTATTATATCATGAGGTTGAGCTAGGCTATTATATATGTAGGAACTAAGATCACTAATGTAAGCATTCAGATGCTAAACAAGGAGCATTCTCATTTATTGTAGTCCTTAAAGAATATGATATCTTCATAATACAGATGCAAAGTCAATCTCTTTTCTTCACCCTTACATATAAGAGAGGGTACCCCGCAAAAAAAAAATTGAAAAAAGCTCCGCTCGGTGGAGC